AGACTTAGAATCTCAAAGTATATCACAGGGTGAATATATCAATTTAGGGATGTTAAACATTCCTTGACATTTAAAACTTTTTTACTTCCTTCTCTTTTCTTTCTCTACCTTTTTTTTTATTGTATATGGATGGGAAATTAAGAAAGGGAACCAGTCACTTCAGAAAACAACTTTTCAATGTCTGTATTGCTGTGAAATTAAGATCACAGCAGTCCTAGTGAATGGATAGCCCTTGTTCTTGCATGCTCTGTGAGGAGATAGCAATTACTTCATTTTAAGGCTAGACTATCTTGCAATTTGTTAAGCTTCTTTTGCTTCTGATTTCTTTACCTATGTCTGTGAATTTACAAATATAACTTTCCAAATCATTGTAAGTTCATTAATGCAAGCTATTGAAGTGTTTTAAGAAAAGAGAAGATGTACAGTTGAGGCTCAGATGCATAGGATACTGAGGAGCAAATCAGCACCAAGGAACAAATACTTCTGATCCATACTGCCATGTTGAATTTAGCTAGGAGTATACAGCAGTTCTTGCAGTACATTAGCTAATGCATTTCTTGATCTTTCATGTGGTTTCATATGTAATATCACATAATTTGTGCAAGTGTATGAATTCTTGAAGTGTCACGGAGTTAATAACACTGAGTTACTGAAGCAGTAAGGTCTTAATTTATTGCTAAAATATGAATTATCATACTGCTTGTTAGGAATGGGACATAACTGCCTATCGAACTGAATAAATAATTTCTCCCAGATGTGCTTGTAGTGAGTTGTTGTCAACTTTTTCATCCTCTCTGAAGCAAACTAGCTTTCAGCTAGTTACAAGCTGAAGCAGATTGCTAGATCACATGGACTTGTAGACTGACTCTGTCTGGCATCTGGTATTGGATATGATTCAAGAACACTGTTAAAGTTTCTGCATAGATTTACGCAATGTATTTCACAATAGTCTCCATCTTGTTATTCATATTTGATTTTTTTATCAGTCATTTCCTCTGCCATATGTGTTATTGTTTGCACACATTAGCAAGAATTACACGATGATGTGTCTTTATCTGCCATCACAGAAAAATATTCATGATTTTCTGCACTAACAGAGTTTGCTGCAAGAAATCATTAATTTTACACTTGGGATAGATTTGCCCAAAGATCTGACAGTAAACTCGCTGTTACTTAGCTAGTGAGAATAACAGCACAGATTTGAGCAAAAGTAGAAATGAATCCCAAACATTTCCAAACCTTTGTGGCATTTTTAATATTCAGGATTTACAGAAAAAACAACAGTAAGAAAAATCCATGTGAATACAATCATTTGTACCACCCTGTTGCAGTAAACTCAAGTAATTCTCAAATGTAAACATACTGGAGGAATTCAGGTAAGATTTGAGCACTTGTTCTCGTGCCCTGTAGTTTTGCTCAAATAGCAGAAGAGCAAGAATTAGAAAATAAGTGCAAGCAAAAAGGAGAAACGGGATACAAAACCAAAACTACTGCTGGATACAGTGTCAGAAAAACTAGTCTCTCACAAATCTTCTGTATGTTTTTCAGCACAAAAAAATAAATGTATTTTCTTCCAGTGAAATACAGCTTGTAACATATAAATCAGAGACACACTAGCAAGCACTTTAGCTTAAACTGCTTTCTGGAAAATTTCAGGCATTGAAAGTCAGGATTATTTTCTAGGGTTGTGCAAGTCCAACCAATGCTAGTTCCTCTCTCTCTGTCCTTGCATCTGAATCTCAGTATTGCGTGCCTTTTATTGTTGGAGAATTTAGTTCATTTTAAACTAAATCAATCAGCTATTTCCCTA